CAGAAGAATTTTTCAACATAAGAGGTCCACACATATATGAATACTAATCGTTTATGTACTGATGCAATGTTAAGGGTTGTAGCTCTATCCTGTCAACGTGAACGGTTGTAAACGTTGATTTATAACAATTATTTATGTGTATGTGACGACTCGTGTTACTAATATTCATGAATCGATTACTCATGTAATCCAACAGATTATGTTAAAACTTCTATGTTATGCATTTGATTAAGTTTTCAAACCAACAAAAGTAACACTTCCGACCTACTAACAACCAAAGTGTCCAGAAAGAAAAGAACCAAAAACTAGTTAGCAACCACCAAACTATTGGGGCCTAAAAAGAAACTGGCCCCTTACAGTGCATGAAAGAATGTTAAAAATTTCCAACAAGGTGATAGATTGCTGAAAAAAGTGTAGGGTAGAGTCCAATATCTGTCTGTGTAGACAAACGTGAAATTGAAAGTGAAGTTTGAAGATGAGCAAATTCTCTATGTATGTATTTTTCTATGAGACTCAAAAGGAATTCATCTTCATTGTTGACGCCAAAAAGTGGTTCTCTGACTTTGAGGGTCAACTTTAGTAATTTTATGCCTTCGGTATCCTTTATGCCTCGGTAGTCAACGTGATCTGCAATATGAGCAAACGCACGGTAAGACCTAGGGCACCGGTGTGATACCGGCCGAAGGCTCTCCGATGCTTAAGTAAGTTCGGGAATAGAAAGTTTAACTGATAGATCAATAGGCTTGAATGCCGTAAGTTCTGATTACCTCCATTTTGGGATAGTTGGCCTCCTTTTATAGGTCTTGGGAGGTGTGCATTTGTTGATAATTTCGATGTGGGACTGTGGACGTTGCTTGGGAGCGTGCCACGTGTCCCAGGAGTGGGCGTCGCCCTAACGTAGTGATCGGTAGGTATGGTGCCGAGGGCGCCTCTGACCAAGCCCAATCTCCTCCACGTGTCCTGCTCTTATTGGCCGTTTATTTTGGGTGTAAACATTCATGATTACCATCTTTCAAAGTTAGCCTTGCCTACTATAAACAGAAAAAAGAAGCAGAAAAATATTACAATTTCGATTAAAATTTCGACTAGTTGCCCTGCAAAATTAAAAAAAAATTGTTGAAATTTCAACATTGAAATCACCGTGAGAAATACCAAAGAAATATAGGGAGCATTGCAAGTATGTGTCAAAACCTTATTAAAATCTTATTTGCGGACCACCATGGCTCAAGATAGAATAAATGGACTAGCTATATTATGCGTTGAAAGAGATATGTTGAAAAACATTAAATATGATAATATAATTGATGATTTTGCTTCTAAAACTGCAACAAGAAGACATTTTAAATGATCTTTTGTGATTAGGATTTCATTGCTATTTTTATTTTGTAGGTGCGTATGAAGGTGATGCATAGGGACATGCAAGTTAATTTGTTGTACGTGCTGTTAGAGGTTCCACTCAGCGCACGACACGTGGTGTGTCTTATCATGCGGAGCGGCGCCATCAATGCGCCGTTTGGTATCTCGAGGCGTACCGTTGCAACTTTCGCCCTATAAATAGAGGGAGTCTCTGAGGCAAAACTCACTTTGCATTTGTGAGTGAGG